GCAAGAGAAGATCCACATCTGATGAACCCCATGTACCAGCCATGTTGGGTCTAAGAGGGTACGTGTAGTCCAGGAGCTCCTGGTACTCCTTTTCAGGATCCCAGCAGGAGGATTTGCGGTTTGGAGAGGGTGGCATAGTGTTGGGGATGGCACAGGCCCAATAGTTGGCCTGATACGGCGACATGTGTTTGAACCCATGTCGATGGTTCTTACTGTAAGACTGAGAAGATCCTGTGTTAAGAATAGAATCTCTTCTTCTGTCCATCATCTCACCTGTTCTTGTTTTTATCCTTCCAGTGAAATCAGATGTATGGTTGGACAAGTAAGAAGTGCTTCTAGGAGTGGATTGCACTGGGGGTGCTGTGAGGCTCAAAGAAGCTGAAAGTGGACTGGACAGACTGCGTTTGGTAGAGTTAAAAATAGGATCCTCATCACATGACCACAGTCTGAGGTCTGATATGCTCATGGTGGTATCCAGGTGTTCTCTAGATAATGGTAGGGAGGATTTATAATATGGAGAATCTTCTGGGATACTTCTGAATGACTGTTTAGACAGACTTTTGTCCTTTTCTTTAGGGGAATCAGCTTTGTAACTGATCTGAGGAAAAATAGACAAAAAGAGGTAATGGTTAATAGGAAATCCTGGGATGCAGACTAAAACATGACCAGGGAGCCATTGGCTCCTATAATTAAACAAGACTACCATTTCAAAAGTTTGATTCATAAGGTTTTATAAATTGGTTTATATGTTTTTGTGTTCACCACGGCTGCTTTTATTTTTTATTAAATATACAGTTAAAACCATAATATTGTGAAATATTATTACAATTTAAATTAATATATTTTAAAATGTATTCCTGTGATGGCAAATATGAATTTCCAGTCTTCAGTGTCACATGGTCCTTCAGAAATCATTCTAATATGATGATTTGGTGTTCAAAAACAATTTCTTATTATTATCAATGTTGATAACAGTTGCTTAATATTTTTATAAAACCAAAAATGACTCATGGTTCAGTAAGGGAGTCAGTTGTGGCTCAGTAAGAGCTCTGAATGATTAACTGACTAAATTAATCTGCTTTAAACCGCTAACTCACCAGAAAGTTCAACAGATTCATGCATCACACTGGCTCTTTAAAAACAGCTGGTTCATAAGAGTCAGTTGTTTTGTGAATCAGATTTCACAGCAGGAAACACTGTCTTGCACTCTAACAAGATGGTATCTGAATCCACATTTGGATGCACACAAAGCTTCCCAGTTGATTTTAAATTATTATTACAAACATTCTGCAACCACTTCAGATGCAAAATTCAGTACAAATTTGGAAATTCAGTAAAACATCCTAAGCAGCTCACTAAGACTTGTTTCATTAGATTCTTACCCTGTCTGAGTCTTCATGTGTAGATGAGTTCTTCAGGATGGGCACCTGACATTGTGTGGAGATCAATGGTTTTCTCATGATATAGAGGCTTTTGTCCGTCATATACCTGGAAACAGGTGCCATAGTGACCGTCTTTTTGCAGTCACTCCTCTCTTTGTCTGAGTCCTTGGCCTCCTGGACATTTGCAGGCCTTGTCCTCTCAACTGCCCTGTGACTGAGGGGTCTAGTGTGACCGCTGTGAATGAACTCCGGGATCCTGGTCTTCCACCTCCCATAGCTCTTGTTCTCCATTTGCGAGGAGGTGTCTGATAAGGCCTTGTCAACTCCGAGAGCCATAGCAACACCTCCAGATTCTGTGGTTCCTCATTTGGCCAGAGCAACAGCTAAAGGTCATAACCACACTGTGTATTAAACACTGCAAAGCAAAGGTTTGAATCACCACACAAGGCTCTGTGATAAGTGTCATCTAACATGATGCAGGGCTCATTTACTCTAATAGGGTTACTTCTGATCTGGGGCGGGTTGCGTAAACTGCTTAGACAAGTCTTAAAAGTTAGTCATCTAATTTCTTTTCTTCAAGACTTTTTAAAGTCAGTTACAAAAAGGTAGATTGGTCTAATGTGAATTCAAAAAGTAAGACTGATTACCCCTTGGCTAACTGCTAGTTGGTCAAACTAGTTTGTAAGACACAGTCTTAACAGCGTCTATGTTTATGCAACTGGCCCCTGGATAAGCAGTCTCATTAAGGCTGCATGTTCAGGCTTGCCTGAAATTCATGAATGCTCTTTGTCCATTTCCTAACTACAAAAGTACTACTACTGACAGATTTAATGAATGACTAAATATCATCTTTAAAAAAAAATCTTAAAGTAAAAATGTAATCAATTAAAATCAAGATTATAAATTAAATGTAATAATAAAAAACAATTTAGTAATTAAAAATAATATTTACTGTGGCAAAATGTAACATTTAGACTGTTATGATTATGTGTCAGATGAAGGCTGATAAATGCAACAGCATGCAGACAAAGCAGTTTCTTGTACTTCTCTGTGGAATACTAGACTGGATCTGCTTTTTGATTGGCTGATGCGCCTGGTTTCCATGGCAACCGAAAGAAAATGACATGTTACGAGAGGTGATCACGTGGGGGGTATTTAATATCATAGCCTGCCTGCAAACAAAGACAATCATGTGTCTTTTACACTGAACCCTCGCGGAGTTCCTTTTAATTTTAATATGACACATATTAAAACCGACACATGGCTGGTCTGTTACTGTTACTGACAGTTTGCAGAGCTATATGTATGAATTTGTTTACTTTGTATTGTAAAGCAAGGAAGCCAAACAGATTCTATCAATGAGTCGGATACCAAGTTGTTCTGAGACTGATCCTTGGGCTACAAACAGTGCGAAGCCTATAGAAAGTCATATAGGCTTGATTGACAGTTACCATGACAACATGATCATCAAACAATGTCTAAAGAAGGCAGGGTGTCTGCATTATACATTTCCTCTGAGAAACCGTAGAGGAATACGCTGTTAAATCAATTCAAATACAAAACACAACACAACGTACAGTTCACAATACAATATACAATCTGCTTGTTTTGTAAGTCACAACCTGCAACCGCTATACTAAAGTTCTCAGTGACTCTGTAATTAAACACTAACACAAAGATAGGCTACTAGAGGAAACAGTGTGTCTTCAACATAAGCGCTCCATTGAACAGTTCTAGGATTTAATAATGCAAGGAAAGCTAAAGGTATGCAAAAATAAGAACAAGAATGACAAACATGCACACTGAGGATACGTGGCCTGAGAAAGCTATTTATAGTGAATTAGTGAATAACTTTCCTGAACGGAAAATGTTCGTAGAAAGTACAATTATTCTTGAGTTACATATGCATCAATAATGAATGACAGATTGTTTCACGACAAGCAGCAGCACACAAAGTGATTAATGCTAAGCTATTATGTTTCAGCCAGGAATATGAATCTGTCACACCTCTGTCGACATCACTTTCACTTTGCTTTCATAGCTGAACATCCTGCATGAATTGATCTTAAACTGTGTTTACGTACCGGGTTTGGCTAAGGAAAATCCCTCGGCAGCTCCACGAACTATGTTCTTATAATTTAGAGATACAATACGATTAATAAAACACTGATGTTGTGGAATCCAAGCGGTGGAGGAAACGGTTCATAACACAGAGGCGGGTCAAGCAGCGCAAGACAAACAATGTCTAAAGAAGGCAGGGTGTCTGCATTATACATTTCCTCTGAGAAACCGTAGAGGAATACGCTGTTAAATCAATTCAAATACAAAACACAACACAACGTACAGTTCACAATACAATATACAATCTGCTTGTTTTGTAAGTCACAACCTGCAACCGCTATACTAAAGTTCTCAGTGACTCTGTAATTAAACACTAACACAAAGATAGGCTACTAGAGGAAACAGTGTGTCTTCAACATAAGCGCTCCATTGAACAGTTCTAGGATTTAATAATGCAAGGAAAGCTAAAGGTATGCAAAAATAAGAACAAGAATGACAAACATGCACACTGAGGATACGTGGCCTGAGAAAGCTATTTATAGTGAATTAGTGAATAACTTTCCTGAACGGAAAATGTTCGTAGAAAGTACAATTATTCTTGAGTTACATATGCATCAATAATGAATGACAGATTGTTTCACGACAAGCAGCAGCACACAAAGTGATTAATGCTAAGCTATTATGTTTCAGCCAGGAATATGAATCTGTCACACCTCTGTCGACATCACTTTCACTTTGCTTTCATAGCTGAACATCCTGCATGAATTGATCTTAAACTGTGTTTACGTACCGGGTTTGGCTAAGGAAAATCCCTCGGCAGCTCCACGAACTATGTTCTTATAATTTAGAGATACAATACGATTAATAAAACACTGATGTTGTGGAATCCAAGCGGTGGAGGAAACGGTTCATAACACAGAGGCGGGTCAAGCAGCGCAAGACTGTCGCTTCCAGCCAATAGAGACATTAAAACTGCACGAGCCATAGTCCAGTCACACCGGCTCGAGTTTCATATTAATACGCATGCGCATGATAATTGCCTGTTATTTGGGGGGACACACTGGTTGAGATCATAGAACGTTTATTAAAGTTTTTTCATGCTCTTTATTCAGTCATGTAACTGCTGCTGAAACAGCACCTTGTCACGCCTTGCTTGTTACATTTCTCAGCGCTGGTCGTAAAAGACAAATTACAGTCGTTTGTGATTATAGAATGAGGATTTAAAAATAATTGAATAGAAATATAAACATATATAATAATTATAAATTATAAACATATAAATCCTTGCAATTATATTAAAGATTACATATGTTGAATAAAGATTTAAATAATTATCTACACGTTTAGTGTACAAAAGTCTCCAGTGAGGAAAAAAGCGACTTGCTTATTAGCCCCTAAGCGCCCCTGGATGACTTTGTGTCCACTCAGGAAACAGTTCTATTATTATTAGTTACCAAAAAATAACTATCCCCAAACGTAGGAATAGGCCTATGTATTCAATGTAATGTAGATCTTATTAGATTATCATAACAATGCAACATGTAAATCAGAGACACAAATGCTTATGATTTATAGTAAGCAGAGACACAGAGTAACAAAATAACATACAGTTAAAAGAGAGTGGAAAAATACAAGGAGAAAATGCATATTAAACACACTAATCAAGTGCTAATTAACAGCTTAGTTCATGTAAACCCTTTAACATCTGAATCTTTTTACAAAAGGCTAAACAATTAGAATAAATTAAACTCATTCATACTTATCAAATTGTCGTTTAAAATCATTTACTTCTTAGCTAATGGCCAAACTTAAAAGTTGGGCATAAAATGTACAAAAAGTCAAGACAAAGTCAGTGTTTATATTTCCCCTGACCACTAGGTGTCACCAGATACCACGTTCTTGGGTCAACAGCATGTATTTGTAATGTAGACAAGAGAATGGAGGAGGTCTATCAGGAAATGTTTGCCCTCCAGTGTGTCTTTCATCATCAGGTTCAGTATCACCTGTGACCCTGAGTTTTGTTTCAATCTTTTGAGCTTGACGTTCACTTCAAATTTGAAAGTTCACCAGATTTGAAAGTACTAAAACCATAAAGCACAAGCTCTGAATCTGCTAGAATTCACAGGAGTATTTCACAGTTTTGATATAGTCCCCAATAAATCTTTGGACTATACCACAATGCAACAGGATTTGCCATTAGAGACAAATATTTACAGCAAATACTTACCGGTCAATCTTCAAAATAGTAAATGTTTCATACAGTCAGTTAAAATATAGCAAACAAACAGAGCAAGAGGTCAGTCTGAATGATTTTCATTACTATCCATCTCTTCACTAGACATCTGCTTGCAGACTGGACATGTTCCCTTTTAGACTTTGCACATAATCTGGGAAATGTTCCCAAACACAAAAACCGATAATAAGAAATCATTTTGGCACAACTGGATAAGATTATCATAACAGAACCTGTTCTTCTCTCAAGTACTTCAAACTAAATGTAAAACAGCAAACTGACCATTAATGTTCCATTCACAGACTTGAATAAACTTTATATTTGACGTAAACTTCACACTGGTGGAGACATCATGTCTATAGTGGTTTTTAAAAGAGTGAGAAAGATTAAAGAAGAAAGAGATGAAAGACCACAGTCAACACTTTACAGTACAGACTCCACACCGTCCTTGTCGTCGAGTGTTTCACGTGAGGAACTGTCTCCTTGGTTCTGGCATGTGACGAGAGGGGAGGTCTCCTCTTCTGCTTTGACATTAGCCACAACCTCCACCTTCACCTCCTCCAGTTCTTGCTCCTCTTGATGCTGCTCCTGTTGTCTTTGTTTCTTCATCTCTTGCTCATTGATGTGGTGAAGAATGCCAGCACCAAGTGCATCTCCCTCCACATTCACAACGGTGGTGGTGCGGTCTCTGATCACACATCAGACACAGTTTGTTAACACAACAGATTACTTAAGGGCTACATTTTTTTAAAACTGTATGTATATATTGTACGAATAAAGCCTAATTTTAATGTTTTTGATTCTGATAAGAAGCTTTAAAAGGTTCTTATGAAGCTTTACACAAAAATAGGCTGCAAAGCTATCAGAATGATATGTTGGGAGTGTGCATTATATACGTTTTTTTCTATTTATGTATATATAAAAATATTTATTTTATATTTGTTTATTTTACATTTTATACTATTACATATACTGTATACACACCACTACTCAAAAGTTTGGGTTCAGTTAGGGTGACCATGTGAAGCTTTACACAAAAATAGGCTGCAAAGCTATCAGAATGATATGTTGGGAGTGTGCATTATATACGTTTTTTTCTATTTATGTATATATATAAAAATATTTATTTTATATTTGTTTATTTTACATTTTATACTATTACATATACTGTATACACACCACTACTCAAAAGTTTGGGTTCAGTTAGGGTGACCATACATCCTCTTTTTCCTGGACATGTCCTCAGACCTAAAAAATGCATCCGGCCAGGATTTCTAAATCGCCCAAATTGTCCGGGATTCAGCCTTTGCTTTCTACAGTCGCCATTCATTGTGTGCGTTTTTGTAGATCCCTGCGAGGGACTGTTCTCTTAATCCTGATCCCACTGAATTTCTGACCATTATCGCTCTGTGTAAAGGAAGATCAGATATTTGTCAATGAGCTCAGGGTCTGTTGAGCAGCAAATCCTCCAGCATGGTCTGTCAGCCATCTCTCCTCTCAACCCGTGATCAGTGAAATCGGACTCCTGCAGCTGGTGTTGAATGCAGGGTTGTCAAGTCCACGTTTTTTTCCCCAGATGGAATTGGGCTACTTTTAAACTGTTGCCATGGGTTGATTTTCCCCCGTGGGTTAAAGGTTTGCATTCTACCTAAAACTGTGCTGTTAAGTTTTGTGAAGGAGGGCCACTGGTAGGAAGCTTTTTAGCTGTGTTGATCAATATGCATAACAGTGACTGTAAAATATGTATTTTTGGTATGGAAGTTACATATTTTGAGTTTTGACTTTGGACGCTACTTTGGGCACTACTTTAACCACCAACCAACTGTCCTCTTTTTGGAAAACTAAAATATGGTCACCATAGTTCAGTAAGATTTTTAAACGTTTATTTATAGAAGTCTCTTATACTCACCAAGGCTGCATTTATTTAATCAAAAGTAAAAACAGTAATGTTTTGAAATATTATTACAGTTTACGACAGCTATTTTTTTGTTTTCTATTTAATATATTTTAAAATATAATTTATTCCTGACAAAGTTGAATATTCAGCAGACATTACTTCAGTCTTAAGTGTCACAGGATCCACCGAAATCATTTTAATATACTGATTTGGTGCTCAAGAACCATTTATTTCCAATATCAGTGTTGAAAACAATTGTGCTGCTTAATATTTTTGTGAAAAAAAAAGTTTTTCAGGACCCTAAAACCTAAACCTTATGTATTAATTGTGATTAATAAAACAACAACAACAACAACATTTAAATAGTTAAAAATACATTTAAAAAATTTAATTATTAATATATATCTCCTGTCCAGTAAATTTGACGATGATATGGCGACTCAATAACACTCAGCTAATATTGATATATGAGATTATATGAGATACACAATTAATCAATATATCATAGGCCTATATTAATAATTTATTGATACTGAATAATAAGAAGAAGCTGTCTTACACAATCCAGTCCACAGCCAACATGAGCGACAGGTCATGGGTAGGCAGACCAATGGCCTCCAGAATGATAGCGATGGTGATGATCCCTCCAGCTGGAATACCTGCTGCTCCCACACTGGAGGCGGTGGCTGTCACCCTTTGAATAAGCAAATAAGCAATCATTTAGCAGATGCTTTATCCAAAGTGATTAACAGCTCACTTATTACAGAAACAAATTCCCTGGAGATAAGTGCCATGATTCTAAAAGCCAGAATGCTGATAGCTCATATTTATCATCATCCAAACCTCCATCAGAGCCTCAGGTCTGCATCGCTCGCTACACACTCAACAGCGTAACCTGCCACACTGGGACAGGCTCCAGAAAGTGAGTGTGTGTTGCTTGTAAATTTAGATCAAGCTTAGCATCTCTGCCTTGTTTAGATATAGAGCACATATCGAATGTAACCAGAATAGATACAAGAATGTTCTGGGGATCTATCAATACTGAAAAATCTGAAAAAAAGGCCTCATAGAGATGTACACTCACAGGATTGTGAAGATCTGGCCTGCGTTGAGTTCAACGTTGTTGAGCTGGGCAATAAACACAGCCGCAACGCACTGGAAAATGGCTGCTCCATCCATGTTAACAGTGGCTCCAATCGGTAAAATGAATCGACTGATTCGTTTGTCAACACCGTTGTTCTCCTCCACACACTTCATCATGGTGGGCAGTGTCGCTGAGCTGCACATGCACAAAAAACAGACAGGGTTTGAGTATGTAATGGCAAAATAGATGTGGAAAAAAATTATAACTACATTTTAATGACATAACTTTGAATCAGTGATATTTTTGTATTATTTATATCCTATTGATGTTTTGATGTAGTTTTCATTTCTATATTTTCTGTTATTTTCATTTTAATTTTAGTTTAGGTTTTAGTAATTTTGTTATGTACTTTTGTTAATTTATTTTCTATTAAGATTTCTTTTAAGTTTTAATATATTTTTATTTTGGTTTTAGCAATTTTAGTACTTCAGCTTAAACTTATTAGTTTAAGTTAATTCAATTAAATTCATTTCAAGTTTATTTGTGTAGCGCTTTTCCCAATACAAATCATTGCAAAGCAGCTTTACAGGAAATTCAGTTTCTACAATATATTTAGTAGTAGCTTGTCAGTGGTGACTATGTCAAATTGATGTACATATGGCAGAAATGTATGGTAAAATTTAGTTAATGACATAATCAAACAGACGATGAACACTATTAACAGCAATGATTATATGTTGCAATCAAACTTGTGATCAAAATTTGGTAGTTTATGTTGTTTCAGGGTTGGCATCATCTGAGGTCTTCTGAGGGGTTGGCATCATCTCGGTCTTTGTAAGGGCTGGATCCAGACTAAAGCTTGTGTAATTCCTAGTTACCACGGTATGTCAACACAACATTTCTATTTGTCGTTTAAGGTTTTAAGTTGAAGTTTTTCATCTAATATTTATATTTTATTTTATTTCAGCTATATTTTTTTATAGTTTTATTGAACAATTACAGCATTGCTTTGGATTGGTCCAAAAGGGCTGAGACTGCAAATAAACCATCAAAATATGGAAAAGACATTCAAGACTCTTATTTTGTCAATCTGATTATGGGCCCTTTGCCAACAAATCAACGTTTTTGCATTTCAGCAACACTTCTAAAGATTTAGCAAGACTAGTAGTTCCAGGGAAAAAAGGAAACAAAGCTTTTTAGTCACATTCTGGAGGCCAAATTGTCCTGCTTATAGGACTTCAGAAATACTCCTGAGTGTAGAAATATAACAAATTACCTGGAGCAGGTAGCAAAGGCAGTGGTAAAAGGTGTGATGAGGCCAGACAGGAAACTGAAGGGGTTTGCACGAGTGAACCCAAAGTAGATAAGTGGTAAGACGATGCCACCATGGATGATGTGGCCCAGGATAGAGGCAAAAATGTACTTCCCCAAACTAGTGACCAGCAGAACCACATCTTCCATCTCCACAATCTTACTGCCAACCAAGAACATGATGCCAAAAGGCACATACCTGAAGGACAAAACAACAGAATGTATCATACATGATATGCATGGTACAACTTAGGTTTTATAAGGTATAAAATGATAAATGTTAAATATTATAGACAGACAGATAGATAGATAGATAGACCTAGGTCATCCTAGGTGTATATGACTTTCTTCTTTCAGAGTTATATTAAAAATTGTCTTTGATCTTTCAAGCTGTTTCATGGCACTCAGCGGGTGTTGCATTGCTTCAATCCAAAAGAAATTATATAAAAAGCGCCCATCCATAAAAAAAAGCTCACATGGCTCCGGAGGGTGAACAAAGGCCTTCTGTAGCAAATCGATGCGTTTTTGTAAGAAAAATATCCATATTAAAAACGTAATAATGACTTTAATGCAGCTTGAGACAATTTTTTTTTATGGATGGGCGCTTTTTATTTAATCTCCACAATCTTACTGCCAACCAAGAACATGATGCCAAAAGGCACATACCTGAAGGACAAAACAACAGAATGTATCATACATGATATGCATGGTACAACTTAGGTTTTATAAGGTATAAAATGATAAATGTTAAATATTATAGACAGACAGATAGATAGATAGATAGACCTAGGTCATCCTAGGTGTATATGACTTTCTTCTTTCAGAGTTATATTAAAAATTGTCTTTGATCTTTCAAGCTGTTTCATGGAACTCAGCGGGTGTTGCATTGCTTCAATCCAAAAGAAATTATATAAAAAGCGCCCATCCATAAAAAAAAGCTCACATGGCTCCGGAGGGTGAACAAAGGCCTTCTGTAGCAAATCGATGCGTTTTTGTAAGAAAAATATCCATATTAAAAACGTAATAATGACTTTAATGCAGCTTGAGACAATTTTTTTTTATGGATGGGCGCTTTTTATTTAACTTTTGTACTGATGCACGCAACACCCGCTGAGTGCCATGAAACAGCTTGAAAGATTAAAGACAATTTTTAATATAACTCTGAAAGAAGAAAGTCATATACACCTAGGATGACTTGAGGGTGAGTAATTTATGGACTAATTTTCATTTTTGGGTGAACTAACCCTTTAATTTCCCATAATCCTTTGCCCGGACACATCCACACTCATTGTTTGCAACTGCCTGGTTAACCCTGTCTGCTCACCCTATATAAGCCTGGTTCATTTTGTCATTCATTGTTAAGTCTTGTATGTGTCTACACTGCATTTCTATGCCTCGTTGCCTGGTTCTCCTGTGTCTTGGTTCCTGGTTTTGTTTCCTTGTCTGTCTTTGGATTACCCTTTGCCTGTGTTTGTGCCCTGTTGCTATTGTTTGGACTGATTGCCTGTGTTATGACCTTAACCTGTTTTTGAACTTTGATTGTGGAATACCGCTTTAATAAATTCTGCATTTGGTTCCTCAACCTTCATGTCCCTGTGCAGTTTTATGACAGAGGTATGGGATGGAGTGCCCTCTGATGGTTATCAAGGGCACTTCAGCTGGTGATTGTGACTATTATATTATATTATTGGATTAGATGTCAATTTGATCAAAGGTCTTTACTTACCACATGATCCAGGACACCAGTACCATGGTGGCTTCATTGAAGGCATTGAAAAAGCGAATGAGCTCCTCTCCTTCTGCCCCAAGCTTTCTCAAAGCAACTCCAAAAACCATAGCAAAGAGAACAAGGCCCAAAATATTCATTCCATCGGCATCTGCTCCATAGGGAACCTGAAAATCACCATAACATATTTGTCTTTGGCTTACATAATTGGACAATCAAATGTTATGATATTGCCATTCACAGTTGGGTCAAAGGTGAACAATGCAATAGCAAACTAAATTAGAAGTTGACCAAACAAAATGACCAAACAAAACCAAGCAACAAAATGTGACATTAATGTGCTCTGATAAATGCTGATTTTGCTAATTGACCTATATTAACTATTTTTCCCACTCATATTCCCTGTCACTGAACTTGATATGACCGTGCAAGAACAAGTGACTTTCAAAAGACGAAATGTGATGAAGCTTGGCTCTCAGACAAACTTTCGCTCAGCGGTGGAGGCAGTGGTGTGATGAAGATCTGATGGGACTGAGCTATCGTTCAACTGAATCCTGCTCTTGTTCTGGGCTTTATCGCACATCCAGGCATGGCTCATCACTTGGCACACAGTACTGGTTGTTCTGTAAGTCCTACTTAAGCAATTATGGACCTCAAGCGTTCTGAGGGATTGCCCACAATATTTGCCCATGCATCAGCAGATATGAGATATTTCAGCTGAGCCAGGATGTAACGAAGACCCAATTATACATAGTGTAGTTCAGATGTGAAACAACTGTGTTAAAGGGGTCATATGATGCGATTTCATTTTTTCCTTTCTCTTTGGAGTGTTACAAACTCTTGGTGCATAAAGAAGATCTGTAAAGTTGCAAAGACTAGAGTCTCAAATCCAAAGAGATATTCTTTATAAAAGTTAAGAGTCAGCCACATCTACCTAAAATGGCTCGTTCGAACACACCCCCACATATCTACCTCCCTATGTGGGAAGATTTGCATAGCGCCGCCAAAATGTTCACGCAAAAAAAGAAGGCGTAACTTTTATTCTCACTGTAGTATTGTTGCCGTTGCCGCCATGTCCTGAAGATGCTGTGTGCTTCGTTGTGAAAGCGAAACTACTTTGTTTGGTCTTTCAAAAGAGGACGATATCCGCTTCGTCATGCCTGGAGCTGATCTGTGCTGGTCGCTGAGGAAATACATCAACTTAGTGCTGTGGATCGCCAGATCGGCTTTCACCGTTTTCACCGCTCCTTCGCCGGGACCGCCGTTCTCGACCCCGCCGCCTCAGTTCACTCTTGCCCGGCTTAGCGTGAGGCTTTCGCTCACGCTAGGCCACTGTGATTTTTGTTGTGAAAGCGAAACTACTTTGTTTGGTCTTTCAAAAGAGGACGATATCCGCTTCGTCATGCCTGGAGCTGATCTGTGCTGGTCGCTGAGGAAATACGTCAACTTAGTGCTGTGGATCGCCGGCACATTTTATGGAGGACTGTTTACTGATCCCGGTAGAGCAGACTACAATGCCGACTGTTCTGACTCACAGACTGTAAGTACGTTTTCATTTAAAGGATTTGCCACTGATGATTCAAACGCGAGTTTT